TTTTGTCCCGGGGGGTCAAATAGTGGTCGAAAATGACGTTTTTTTATGCATAAAGCCCCGTCTTTCCTGAACTCCTCCTACAGTTTACACAGTAGGCTTATAATCTTTTAGGAGAGGTAAATATTTTGAAAATAAGGTTAAGCATCAACGTCAAGGGGTAAAAAATCATCGCCTACTGGGAAACATCTTGTATTCTTATGAGTAATTAATGTACATGTCAAATGTGAAAGTCATATCTTTTCTCAATCAAAAGTTATAAGCAAATGCTACATTTTTGAAAAGTAGGTTAAGCTTCAAGGTCAAGGTCACAGACTCAAAAGTGATGATTTATTTGGAAAGGTCTTATCACAAGTAATAATATACATGCATGTATAATATGAATGCCCTAACTTTTCTCTTTCAAAATGATGAATTTAAAACATGTAATTTTTTTGCAAGTAGGTCAAACTTCAAGGTCACGGGTAAAAAAAATCATGCCACTGTCACAGGTAAACACAACTAGATATGTTTAATATGAATGCCTTGTCTCTTCTCATTCAATAGATATGACCGTGATGACAAAGGTTAAATTTATTGAGACAGATGGACAGACTAACATACAAATGTACATATTTCTATGTAAATTGGTTAGAATTGGCCCAGTGGTTCTGGAGAAGAAGTTAATAATGTAAAAACTCTCCAGACAAACAGATGGACGACAGACGTAATGTGATAAGGAAACAAGAAAAGCTCAAATGAGTATTTTGAAAGGGTTACCATGGTTACGGTGTTTGAAAAGCTTTTTTTTTTCATGCAATTTTTTGAGAAGCTGAAAATGTATGACATGTATCCATTGTTAAAAAAAATTAAACATTTCAGAAAACAGTATGAATGAAAATAGTTAATCAAGGTGTTTTGAGTAGCAAAATAAAGCTAGTAAACAAGGGAGAACAAGAGATATGACATACATGTTCATGTTATATATTTTTTTCAGTAATTTGTTTGTTTATTGTGAAAACATCTCTCTCGGGAATTTTTCTCTCATATGGAGACACCACCACTTAAAAATAATGAAGACAAGATGTGTTTGTGATACACTGATGCCCCCGTATGACAGCCTATGGTGAAGGTTGAAGTTTCTAAAATGTATGTCAAACTCAAAGGTCAAGTTCAAAGGGTTAAAATTGTTGGTATCAAAAGAAAGTCTTGTCACAAGGAATACATATGTGAAATAAGAAATCCCTAGTACTTTCTGTTCAAAACTAATTGCCAAGGTTAATTTTTTTTTTAGAGCAGGTCAAACTCTATGGTCAAGGTCAAACGTATTTATACCTGTTGAAAGTTCACAATGAATACAAATGTTAAGCATGAAAACCCTAGCACCTACTGATCAAAATTTAAGCCAAGTATACATTTTGGTATTTTTCTTGTAAAAATGAGTAAAAATCCAAGGTCAAGCAAGGTCAAGAGATCGAGAGGTCAAAATTGGTGGTACCCAATTAAAAGGACTTGTCACAAGGAATTAATCTATGAAATGTGGAAGCCAAGTGTATAGCCCATCCCACTTAAAACTTATGGGCAAGGTTAAAGTTTCTGCGGACAAACAGTCAGACATTATATAAACACTAGAAACAAAATATGTATATAGTCAAATGGAAAAAAATCTACTATTTTGGAGTCATAAGATCGATTGTAATTTCAGGGACAGGGAGTGGCTAGGGAGATTGGATCCCCCCTTGGAATTTGCTTTGTTATTTGAATAAGAATGTTTACTGAAGCAAATAAAAAATGATTTTGGACATCCTCCCCCTTAGAAAACATTGACCCCACTATCATTGTTTTTATTTTGTTGATTTGTTTTTATTTTTTTTTCTTTGCTTGTCAGGAAATTCTGGGCTGTAATTTTTTTGACTGAGGTGTGAACCCCCCTCCCCCTCCCGAAAAAAATCTGGAACTACACCAGTAACTGATGAATGTCACATCGACAACGGGAGAAATTCGTCTAATGTGGCATGCGATGATCTTTGACCCTTTTTGAACTTTAACCTAATCATTTTCATTTCGGTTTATTTTACTCCAATATGTACTTAAACTTGTACTTACCGACTCTCATAGGTCCTGTCAATTTCATGAAATATAATCCAATTAAAACACAAAATGAATTATTTCAATACACACCAAACTGCACCATGTGCTATTCGGCAAACCTTGGCTGATTCAATCGCCTTATCAGATGAAGTGGGAATCGGCCGAGCTGTGCCGAGTGGTGCTTAATCTAAAAATATGATAATGGGTGACGCAACCCAATGTGTGATGCAGAAATTTTCCAAAAGGTGTGAACATGTAAACATGTATAGTAAAAGAACAAATTTTAAATTAATTCATAACAAACGATGTTTTCACATAACTTTTCCATCTACATGTAGCCCATTTAAAAAAAAACATACGTGCCGTGTGTTTGTGGTGTCGGGGGAGGGGGGTATTAGTAAATTTAAAAAGTTCCTATAATGAGAAAAACATTTTTCAAAATCTAATTTACATCATTATTTAAATTCTGTTTTTTCAAACCGGTAATGAATTAAGCATATAAAATACATATAAGAGGTTTTGAGTCATAGGTCACATGGTCACAGGGTCTGAGAATTTCATACTCAATTTGACGAATACATGTTCAGTGTAAATTATAGAATTATTTTGATTTTTCCCTTGGAAAGCCCAATATGTAGGAGTGTGTATTTAGAGGCAAACACCTTAGTGCGGATATTACTCTCTCATGACAGTATCAAGTTAAGGCCCTGTCACACCAAGCTGCGTTCACACGGAGTCATTACGGCGTTGTTAAATTTTAAAAATCGCCATGGAGTCGCAAGGAAATTGCACAGATTTCTAAAAAAAATTTAACAATGTGAAGATGGCACGGCGTTCCTACGGCGACCAACGCATTTCTACGGCGATCTCATGGCGTGCTACTGCGTTCCAACGGAGATCTCTCGGCGATTGACTGCGTTTCCACGGAGTTTTCACCTCGTGTTTACGGCGTTCTCACTGCGCTGGCTGCGTTCACAATACGTTCACAATGCGTTCTTCATCCATGGATATATATTCAGAAGGAGTGCAAAACATTTTTGTTCAGAGATTCAAGTTATATGCTGAAAAGACTTCTATTCATGCAAAGAAATATTCTTAATAATTAAAAATTTTCTACTTGAATAATTTAGTACTAAATTATTAATAGTTTTATTATCAAAATCCTTCTTTTTTAAATTTTATCGGTTCAGATGTGTTGTTAAATTTTCTTTGATTTCATTATGAATGTAAAAAAAAATAAACACATTGAAAAGTTGCTACAAATTCAGCCGCAACTCCAATGAAACACCAGAACAAGTTCTGGTGTAATTTCTCATCCCAGTTTTACTTAAATTCTCTTAGTGCAACAAATACTAGAATTATTGCTGATCAAATATGAGACCATTGCTCTTGTTTTGTGAGCTGACTGAAAGCGCTCTAACAACGCCGTGAAAGCGCATTGTGATTGCCAGCGGACGCTGAAGAAACGCCAAGGGAGCGCAAGGATCGCAGTGACAACTCCTGCTGTCGTTGTGTAATCGCAGTCCATAAAAAATGCAAAACGCCGAGATGATCGCAGTAGAGTCTCCTACAGCGCCGTGACAACGCGGCAAGATCTCCACTGTACGCCGTAGGATCGCGTAGGGTCTTCTAGAACGCCAAGGGACGGCGATCTCTTTAGGCATGCACAAAATACGCGCCGTGTGATCGCGGTCTGATAAGAGCGCAGTAGAAACGCAGTATGATCGCCGTAGCATCGCGGTAAGATCTCCAACAACGCAGTGCGATCTCCGTGCGAATGCCGTGAAGACGCACATGATCGCAGCATGAATGCATTGATAGTAGACTGCGCTTCTACGGAGACCTCACGGAGACGTCGCGGAGTCCTTGGAGATGTCACTGCGTTTCTACCGCGCTTTCACGGCGCTTGTGATGCGATTAATCGTCTTGTTATTTTTTATGGACTGCGATTACACAACGACAACACGGAGTTGTCACTGCGATCAATGCGATCCCATCGCGTTTTTACAGCGTCCGTTGGCGATCACAGTGCGCTTTCACGGAATTGTTAGAGCGTTGTCAACCAGCTCACAGAACAAGAGCAATGGCCTCATATTTGATCAGCAATGATTCTAGTAATTGTTGCACTAGGAGAATTAGAGTAAAATTGAAGAGAGAAAGTAACACGAGAACTTGTTCTGTTGTTTCAGTGGTGTTGCGGTAAAATAACTTTTCAAATCTTTTCAGATTTACATACATATTACATAATGAAATCAAGGAAACTAGATTTACATGTACATATCAATCGATAAAATTTAAAAAAAAGAAGGATTTTAATAATAAAACGATTAATAATTTAGTACTGAATTATTCTAATGGATCATTTTTAATCTAAAATTATATTTCTTGAGATGAATAGAAGTCTTTTCATCATGTAATTTGAATCTTTAAACAAAAATGTTTTACACTCCTTCTGAATAAATATCCATGGGTGTGAAGTGCGCATTGTGAACGTATTGTGAACGCAGCCAGCGCAGTGAGAACGCCGTGAACGCGAGGTGACAACTCCTATTACGCCGTGAAAACTTCGTGGAAGCGCAGTCAATCGCGAGGAGATCTCCATGGAAACGCAATGGAACGCCGTGAGAACGCCGTAGAAACGCGTCGGTCGCCGTAGGGACGCCGTGAGATCTTCACGATATGAAAATACTACAGAAAGTTGAGCAATTTCCCTGCGATGCCACGGCGATTTTAAAAATTTTACAACGCCGTAATGACTCCGTGTGGACGCAGCTCGGTGTGACAGGGCCTTTAATGGTCAACTAAAAGACTGGATAACATGACCCTATACAGAAATTAACTTTTTTTTGCGAATGTGATCAATTTTGTTGCACATATTTACGTAAACCATTACTTTAATTAAATGTCTTCCTCAATGTTTCCTTTTTTAACAGCTGTTTTAAACTTCCTGTGTTCAAAAAATCATTCTGCTGCAATACCAGATCCCGAAAATTGTGCGAAATTTTACAACTGTTCAAAACTGCTTTCATCAAAGACACTTGAAGATATGAAAACTGAGTGCGGATATCCAGATCTTTTCTCTTTAAGCACTGGAAGATGTCAGAATTTTAAAACTGTAAATTGCACCAAAAGGAAGGAACCTGTGACACCGTGTATGTTTTATTTTTCATCATTTGCATTTTACTTCATACATATTTACTTGTATGTTTTACATTACTTTTAATTTATCACATTTTAGGAGGATACATATTCCATATAATGCAGTGCAGAGAATTTTGCTTTTTGAATGTCAAATCAATTGCACTAATTCAAATCAAAACATTACTTAAAACGTAATTACATGGATGTTTCCAATACTACTTAAAAAGAAACAAGCCCATTGTCACGGTAGGCTTTGTCCCGATAAAAGAAAAACCACTGTTCAATCGATGCTGAGTAAAAGTTTAACGTTGAACCCATTATATGTTGGCGTCTCAATAAAAGTGGAATTCTCGAAAGTGATGTAAAACATTCATACAATCAATCAGTCAGTCAAAACATAATGACAATAATAATGATTAATATGATAATTAATTATGATTTAAGATGTAATTCTGCAGAACTGGCATATAGATTTATAAAATATTACTTTGAGTTTCTTCATCTATATTTTTTTTCTTGTTTAAGGTGAATATTATAAAAATCTCTGCGCTCTCAACAGTACCAAATGTATTCCTTGTTATAAACGGTTACCCAGTTGTCAAGGATTGACAAATGGAAACGAGGCCTTTCCAGGAAAACTATGGCAGGCAGATTATATTGTGTGTGACACAAACCGTACCATGAACATCAGTCATTGTTCTCAAGGAGAGTACTTCAATCCAAGACTAAGCACTTGCAAGAAGGATGTTCCAAATGGTAAATGTGTTACATACATCTTGTTTTGCATAGATTTATAATAAATATTTTTTATATCATCTTATCATATATACAGTAGTTTAAACAGTCTTATTGGTATGGGAAACTTTTTAATTTTTTTAGGTCATCCGAGTAACTCAGGACCCTTGGAAATTTTAGTGTCCCTGTCCTTAAGGCCTGAGGGGTGGGGTTAAAACCATTTAAATTAATGAAATCTTTAAAATAATTCTTCTTTACGCCTGAAAAATCAAGCAGTCAAAATGTTGGTATGATTTAAATAAGCAGTGAGCCCACTAACCTAAATTGTGAAATACGTGGCCCACGGATCAAGGGTTCTGGTGTTAGGGTGGGGCTCTATATATAAATTGTATAGTGAAAGTGCATTATTTCTTCTCTGCTCGACAGCTCCTGGGTATTAAACAAACTTACTAAATACATATTAATTATGAGCATGGCTGCCTTTTCCAAAATTGTGAAATTCATTAACCCTGGGTCATGAGTTCTGGTGTAAGGGGGGGGGGGTCTACTGATTATATAGTGACAATGAATTAAATCTTTGAAAACCTTCTCCTCTAGATTTTAAATTGCTATTTATATTAAATTAAATGGTTCCAAAATGTAGGCGGAAATCGAGAGTTAGCGTGCGTATTTCTTTTTGAATTTTTGGAAGTTTTGACAGAAGTAAAATACATATGGCAGTGTCAAATAAAACACTTGATTGATGCAATGTAAACATAAACTGCTTCAAATATTTGAGTATTCTTAAGTCAATGATTTGTTGTATCTCATTCTTCATATTTTGAAGTCACGTGTGAATGTGGGATTTTGTATTTCAGGGGATAAATGTCTTATGCATGTTGAATGTTACATCAATCTTTACATGCACAAGTGGCTTGCTAAGAAAAGAGGCAATGTAGCGGTATTGTAACGTTTTTTCAAGACTCTTAAGGGACCGAAAGGAAATCATAGAAAAAAATTCTTTTTTAATTACTTGACATCGAACAGAAAATCTCTGACAATATGAAAATATATACAAAATATATCTCGCTAAAAAATGGCGCTTTTTATGTAGGACACGTTGTACATGTTTCATACCCCAGGGTCGGATAAGATATTAAATATTGAAATAAAATAATTATGTTCCCCAAACGAAGTTTGGGAACATATTGTTTTTACTCTGTTTCTTATTATTATTTTTCTTCTTCCTGGGTACTTATTTGTCAGCGAATGATCTTGTAAACTGTTCATCTGATGTAGGTAAAATCTTTTTAGGGTAAGTAGACATGTTATGTAGATTTGCGGAATCAAGGTCATTTTGCGCGCACGTGCTTGCAAGAGCGCGCACGCGCAGCACGTAAAATGACCAATATAATTGATATAGCCGTAACTTTTTCTATTTTCTGATAAAATGTGTTGAAACTCAGAATATAAGAATATATTAGTATTATACACAAGAGGACATGGTCAAATTATCATGAAATCACGCGCATGCACGTGCGCTTCGCTCTGATTGGCTGAAACAAAAATCTCAATATCTTGTTCGTTTTTTGACGAAATACTTTGAAATTTAATTTATAGTCATGGATTAAGATATCCTACGATATCGTATAAAATAATTTTCATGAAACCACACGCATGCACGTGCGCTGCAATATGATTGGCTAAAACTTTAAATGGCTATAACTCCCTTGGTTTTCAGCCAAACAGGATGGAGTTTAGAACATAGATAGTCTTAATGGACCCTTACAAGAGGATATGGTCATCACGCACATGCATGCACGTGCGTGCACGTGCAATACGTATAATTACAAACGCACTTGATTTAGCATATTTTCGATTACTTTTTGATTAAATGCCTTGATATTAAGTACATTAAAAAAAATCAATAGTGTAGATACAATGATATGGTCATTCCGCATATGCATGCAAGTATGCGCATGTGCAATGCAAAAATTTGCTACATGTATATACTTGGTATGCTTTAGGAAAAACGTTGTTTAAGTTTAAGATGCATAGAGTTTAGTTTATTTGATGAAGCTTAGATGGAATGAGGCACCAAAATGAAGTTGGGGAGCGTTTGGGAAACATCTGTTACGGTTCCCGTTACAATTAGCACTAGTTCCAATTAAACTGGACTGAAGAGTAAAGTAAAATTTTCTAATCAAAATGTTTTCTGACTGCCTGTCGTTTTGAATTGAACATTTTTCTTAAGAGTCACTTTGCAAATTCAAAATTGTTACCTAATTTGTCACATGCCACTTACGATTCTTGGGTGAAAAAAAAAATTAAATTTGTTCAGGAAGTGCCAAGCCCTCTATTTCTTTATAGACCACTCGGCTATCTAGGCAATTCAAAATACTTGCTTCCGATGCCGATGGAATTCGACTCAGTTTTTAAGTCATGTCTGCTTTTTGGCATCATTCAAACCATACTGTGATGTCGATCGCCTCATCGTGAACTTGAAATAAAAGACACAACAGAGTCTGAAACATTTGTTTCATATTAAGATACTATGAAATTTTATGATAAACATATGACTTTACCTTTTTCATCGCCATCTTTTCTTACTTACAAAGCAATATACCTTTGTAATCTGCATATGGGCTTTATGTCTCCCTGTCGATTCTGGACGCAAGAGCATGCTTTACGTATGATCAATACATATTAATTGTTTGGCCTTTTTACACATTGAATTGTCTACAAATTTTCCCGTTTATCCGATTAAAACAAGGAGCACACAGCGGATGTGACTTGTCGCCAGGGATGCATACGCCTCTAAGACACCTTATTCAATCTTTAATACTAGGTTACTAGTTGCTATGTTCTCGAATTGTATAGAAATGATAGACTTTTGAGATTGATTACTGCTCTTTATGTCCATACTTTATAGTATACATGTATATAACTGCCAAAATATTTATTGGTTTTATAAAAATTCATTTTTTTATTCAATTCCAAAAACAACTCCAACCCCCTCCCCCTACACACAAATAGATTTTGAAATATCATTTGATTTTAGGTGGTTTGAACAAATTCTGCGTTTTACAAACTGACTAGAGCTGTGTGGTTTCATATTTAAAATATATCCAGAACATTAATTGTTATGAGGTTGTATACTTCAAGAGTCGGATAGGATTTATAAAAATACAAGTAAATATATATATGTAAATTCGCAATATCCGTGTTCGTACTAAACAAGTTTTGCTGTATTTACATTGCAAAGCACGAGGGAAAGTACATTTTAAAATAGAACTGTCCCACAAGTTAATTGAATCCTGTATTCAACAAAACTGAATTTTCTGTTTATGACATTTTTTGAAATGACCTTTCATAACACAGTTTCATAGGCTTTGATGTTGTTAAAATGTCATTTCCAAACGATTGTAACAAAAAAAAAATTAAAAAATTTAAGAACATATTCTGACAGTTTCACTCAGTCCCCTTCACAATATTAATAAATTACTCTCAATACCTTCTTAAAGGGCAAAAGGGTATTTTTTAAAAACAAGATTCTTTAGGAAGAGAAGAAAAATCAGGAATTTTTGAATCTCTTTCAACTGATAAGAGACAATCAATCTTGTCAATGTAAAATATATTACCCTCATCAAAACATGTCGGCCGAGCCGATCGACTGAAATTTTTCATTCAAGATTTAAACAATTTGTTAGCATATCTGTGTAAACTCCGCGGAAAATTGAATGTAAGCCAATGAAAACTTGTTGTTGATTATTAAAACTTACTTGAACTTAAGGAAATAAAGCTGTAGTACGACCTCAAAGTTTTTGAGAATGATGACCGTAACAAACCATTCAGATGACCGTAATCTAAATTTTTTTCAACGAAGTTGGATGACCGTAATATACCGAATTTAATTTGTTTTCTTTCCTGTTAAAGAAGCAGTTATAGGGAGATATTTGGACAAAGACATAAATATCATTTTCAAACATAATATTTCTAACCATTTGCCAATCTTGTTTCTAAAACAAAACTTTTAATTGTTGAAATGCTCATAGTGAAAGGTTGTCAACTCCCGTTTAATTTCTTGCAACATAGCTAAATCGGAATAATCTGGTGTTTTGAGAATAAGGGAAGACTGCACTTAAGGATGTGCGAAATCTACGTCAAAATAAACTTTCAAAACAGACATTTTTCTTTTAATTGCAGGGATGATCACCATCTAGACTACAATTTTACTTAAACAAAATTAATAAAAGTATGTATTTACGATGTAGGAATCTCTTTTCTAAAGTAGGGGCCAACACAATTTCTTCAATCTCCGTACAATAATGAAGACGCCTTGAAGTTCTTTTTTACTGACTACATACATAGTCAGCGTATGTTTGTCTATTGTTCAATAGCTACTTTTCACAGAAGCGTATATTTGCATAAGTAATGTTGTGTTAATAGACAAACATGCGCTAATGGTTTAAAAGAGAAAAAAAAACTGCATCTTCTTACACTCGCCCTCTCTGTTGTAAACCAAAGGTTGTGACACTATGAATATTATAATTCACCACGTGATATCTTTCCTCAGGTAATTTTTACGGGGTTTGGACCTCACTTCCAGTATTTTCCTTTTTAAATCTGGGATCGTGTCTTTTTCTTTTTTAGCTCACCTGAGCCGAAGGCTCAAGTGAGCTTTTCTGATCAAAATTTGTCCGTCGTCTGTCGTCGTTGTCGTTGTCGTCGTCGTTGTCGTCGTCGTTGTAAACTTTTCTTATTTTCATCTTCTTCTCGAGAACCACTGGGCCAATTTCAACCAAACTTGCTACAAAGTATCCTTGGGTAAAGGGAATTCAATTTTGTTCAAATGAAGGGCCACGCCCTTTTCTGAGGGGAGATAATAATGAATTAGAGAAAAATTAATGGCGTTTATAAAAAAATCTTCTTCTCAAGAACCAATGGGCCAGGAAAGATGAAACTCATGTGGAATCATCCTCAGGTAGTGTAGTTTCAAGTTTGTTCAAATCATGACCCCCGCAGTAGGGTGGGGCCAAAATGGCCTATCAAAGTTTAACATAGGAATATATAGGAAAAATCTTTAAAAATCTTCTTCTCAAGAACCACAGGGCCAGGAAAGATGAAACTCATATAGAATCATCCTCAGGTAGTGTAGATTCAAGTTTGTTCAAATCATGACCCCCCGGGGTAGGAAGGGGCCAAAATGGCCGATCAACGTTTTACATAGGAATATATAGGAAAAATCTTTAAAAATCTTCTTCTCAAGAACCACTGGGCCAGGAAAGATGAAACTCATGTAGAATCATCCTCAGGTAGTGTAGTTTCAAGTTTGTTCAAATCATGACCCCCGCGGTAGGGTGGGGCCAAAATGGCCAATCAAAGTTTAACATAGGAATATATAGGAGAAATCTTTAAAAATTTTCTTCTCAAGAATCACAAGGCCAGGAAAGATGAAACTCAAGTGGAATCATCCTGAGGTAGTGTAGATTCAAATTTGTTCAAATCATGACCCCCGGGGATAGGGTGGGGCCAAAATGGTCGATCAAAGTTTTACATAGGAATATATAGGAAAAATCTTTAAAAATCTTCTTTTCAAAAATCGCTTGGCCAGGAAAGATGAAACTCATGTGGAATCATCCTCAGGTAGTGTAGATTCAAGTTTATTCAAATCATGACCCTCGGGGGTAGGGTGGGGCCACAATGGCCGATCAAAGTTTTACATAGAAATATATAGGAAAGTCTTCTTCTCAAGAACCATTGAGACAGGAAAGATGAAACTCCTGTGGAATCATCCCAAGGTAGTGTAAATTCAAGTTTGTTCAAATCATGACCCCCGGGGGTAGGGTGGGGCCAAATGGCCGATAAAAGTTTTACATAGGAATATATAGGAAAAATCTTTTAAAATCTTCTTTTCAAGTTCTTCAAAGCCATGCTTAGTGATATTTATACGGAATCATCCTCAGGTAGTGTAGATTCTAGTTTGTTCAAATCATGACCCCCTTGGGGGTTAAAATTCAAGCCCCCTCCCCCCCCCCCTCCCCAGTAAACTTTCAGTTCTGGTCTGAAATGTGCTTTTTCCTGGCCAATTGCTCAGGTGAGCGATGTGGCCCCTGGGCCTCTTGTTCTTTTTTTTCTTCATATTTTTGTGTTCTGATATGCACTATATGTAATCGATGATGTTGTAACCCGTTCGTTTCTATAAGCTGTTTTAAAATATATCGTGTCGAATATGCATCAGTCGAAAACGATTTATGTATATTTAACAGCCACTTTGTATCGTGTTTGAAAGGGGGGGGGGGGCGGCCAGAGAAAAAAAAAGGAAAACTGCCCAAACTTGATAATCCTATTTCGTGAGGGGGGGTGTAAAGGCCAACTTTTTTCAATACCAAGTTCTTTCAGTACTAATTATTTGGTATTTGCATTTCACCGACCGATATCATTATCATGGAGTATACAGTGGGGGGCCAACCAGCCTTTCAATGAGGATTTCCTATAGTAAAAGTATTGTTGGGGAATAAGTGGGGGCAGGCCCCACTGTTGCTACGTGCCTGTTTAAAAACGGTTTATAGGGACAAAAGGGTTACATTTTCGATAACATATAGACTAAGTGTATATTAGAATACAAAAGTAAATAAAAGGTGAACTGATCCCAGATTAAAAAAAATGGAAAGGGGGATCCATACCCCCAAGTGCCAGTGGTAAATTTGTGAATACTAAACTCCGTCTATAGGTGACATATGTTGCGTGTTTTGTATTGTGTCCGAGCACGTTAAAAAATCATCCAACAGTTTAAAATATTCTTTACTTACTAAGTCCATGGATGGGCTTATACGTTTTAATTCTTATTAAATAATGTAATTCTGCTAATACAGAATAAAAAGGAAGATGGAAAATAGAGTTCTCATATTTTTTAATACATGTCATTGTTATTCATCCAGTCTAATTTTAGATCCATTCTTACGATGTTAGCTCCACCTCTCATAAATAAATAATATTCAATCAAAGGCAGGTAACTGTTAATTACCTATATTTGGAAAACCGTTAGGACAAAAACATGACAGTCATTTAACATTTAAATTAGGTGTCTAATCGACGGACCACTGTAGTTAATATATAAAAGTAAAAAGAGGTTCAGATGTAAAAGAACAGAAGCAACCAAAGAAGACACAAAACACAGCATTGTGTGCAGTCATTCTTTGATTGTGAAAGAAGTTAAAACTTAACTCCTTCTCCCCTCTCAAATACACACATACATACCCATAACTACACATTCACGATACAGGAATTTAGAGTTTGGACATTTTTTTCTTTTTTCCTTGTCAAACTTTAAAAGCTAATTTGTCGTTGTTTTTATCCCCCCCCCCCCTTTAAAAAAGAGATTTTGGCGAGCCATTTAGTTTGTTTTCCAATGTATCAACTTAATTATCGGAATATACATTCAAGTATTTCATTTTAATCTCTTTTTTCTAATGACTGCCTCATTTGTATGTAATAATATATTCAAAAGAAATGTAATACATCTAATACGAGTTTGTAAAACATTATATCACGGTCATCGGTACAATTAACGGTCATCATCTGTTCACTGGAATGTGATTGTTAATACGGTCATCATACTGCAAAATTCCAAAGGCGTTTTTCTTTCATTTTCGCTTTGTGGGTTAACAACAACTATAATGGCGTGGAGATAAAATCGATGTTCGCTTCAACAATATCTTAAATTACTCATTTTTATTGAATAATGTTTGTAATCGCCGTCGAAAAATTTCAATCGATCGCCTCCGCCGACATGTTTTGATGACCGTAAAACATGTATATATTACAGTCACCATCTTTCTTACAGTGAATAATGTAGTCCGAAATAAAACTCATTTCCTAGTGTCATTTATATGTAATTTAACTTATCTCTGTGAAACTAATCGCTGTTTTGTTTATATTTAGTGGATATACCAGATTATTGCTTAGCCAACCCCAAAGCTCTGCTTCCAAAGAAAGACAACTGTGGTCAGTACATCAACTGTTCTGATTCGGGATTTGATGGGAATCACACAATGGAATGCCTTTATCCAGATCTTTTTTCATTAATATCTATGTCATGCCAGTGGTTTGAGAATGTGACTTGTCATCAACGCATGGAACCCCAGGCGCCATGTAAGAAAAAATGCAATAATTTTAGTCATTCGATGCTTTTTTGGTATTCTGTCTTTAATGTTTTTTTGGAAACAAAATATGTAGGTGATTACCAACAGAACCTTTGTGCGCCAATGAATAAGAGCTGTATTCCTTGCAAGAAGAGGCTTCCATCTTGTGTGACATTGCCTGATGGGAAGAACCCTATTAATTGGTTGTTATGGAAACCAGATTATGCCATCTGCTACAAAAATAGGACCATTGATATAGAGAAATGTTCCTCTCGCTTTTTTGATCCAGTTCAAAGAAAATGTCTGTCGAAAGCAATTCCAAGTGCGTTTTGTTGTATTCTGCAAGTGTAAATCATATCAATACTATAAGTCGAAGTAACAAATGATTTACAGTTTTACACCTGATACTGCAGTATATTTTTTACTCTTTTATGTAATATGATTACAGGTAACATTGATAAGATTTGCAAACAGAATCCAAAGGCTATCTTCCGAAAGAATGACAACTGTGCTCAGTATTACAACTGTTCCGTGGACAACTCCAAATACGGAAAACATCTACAGGAATGTAAATATCCTGATCTGTTCTCTACCATAAGCATGAGATGTGAGAATTTCAATATAGTGAAATGTGACAATAGAACAGAGCCTCAGACACCATGTGAGTAGATGATAAAATGATAGAACTTACGAGTATATTGAAATCTAGATGAAGCTGTTTATTTAAGTGTAAAAATCTAGATAAAATTTTTGAGACTTAAAATTGTTTATTAAAGGTGAGTATGTTCAAAACCAGTGTGCAAAAAGCAACGTTTCATGTGTCCCTTGTCCAAAACGGTTGCCCAGTTGTCAAGGATTGACAAATGGAAAAGAGGCTTTTCAAGGAAAACTATGGCAGACAGATTATATTGTGTGTGACACCAACCGTACCATGAACTTCACTCAGTGTTCTCAAGGAGAGTACTTCAATCCAAGACTAAACACCTGCATGGAAGAAGTACCAAAAGGCATAGCTTTTTTAACTTATTTATTTTAATAATAGTAACTTTAATAAATTTATTCATTTGAGAAATTTTAAAATTTTATGATCACATGAGCCCCTTAAGGTAGTCCGATATTCAAGTTCCGAAAATCAGGCCTTCAATAATTGAAAATGCTCGCAAAAATATCTGCATTTTTTAAAATAATGTATATTTATTCAGGGGACCTTTTCATCAATTAAATTAGCCATGATATATAGGAAAACCAGTAAATTGCAAATAACTTCCCAGGGAATATGAATATACATTTCACAATGACTTTTCGTCTGTGAACTTTGGGGAAATTAGCTTGGTAGGATAGCAACTCGCTTTTTCTACTGTAATGCTAAATCGGTATAGAGAAACAATTCCGATTAAAGTTGAATGATGTTTATTGTAGAGTCACAAGATAGAAAGTGAAGTTATATAAGTTGTTACACAAAAAAATAATCATAAACAAATACAAGTAATTATCGAAATTAACAATATGAAATAGTTGAATAACTTTCGAAACAACCTGTAGCAAAAACCGCTATAGTAAAGTATGATTACAAAACAGAAACTAAAGATCGATCGTTCACGTGAAATCGTTCATGCGTAGCGCTCAACTAAGTTCTTACCGTTACGAATGTTAAATATCAAAAGTTGACAATAAAATCAGAAAACTTACAAACATTAAAGGTACTTGGACACAGATTTTAAGTTGATATTTTCTCATTTTTTCTGTATAATATCACGAATTATATCTTTTAATAGCATTTCACACAAAAATTAATTAAAAATCTTTTTTCATTTAAAAGTTATTAAAACTTTAATTTTTTTGGCAGGTTTGATTGACACATCCTTGCACTTTCACAAACTTTAACTTTATTCTTAATCCTTAGGAAAAGTGGCAATTTTGATGTATTTTAATGAAAAATATTAAAACTTTTATCAAGAAAATAATTTCATTCAGAGTAGAAATGTTAGAAAGCAAAACACCTTCACAAGTATCGTCATTCCGAACTAAGAGATGCGTACAGAGTTTAGCAAATCGAGCACACTTGTGTTATGTACACAATTTTTGTAAACAGGGCTCGAGTTCTGTTATTGTTTATTTTTAGAATTCACCGGGTGCGTTCAATCGTCACAGTCTGCTTACCACAACTGCACGGACTGACAATATATTGTGTGTTTGTTTTGCTTTCGAACGTGTCTACTCTGAATTTTCTGGATTATAGTATTAATATTTTTCATTTATACAAAACGAGATTGCCACTTTTCCTAAGGATTAAGAATAAGATTAAATTTGTGAGAGTGCAAGGATATGTCAATCAAACCCGCCGAAAAATTTGAAATTTCAATATCTTTTAAACGAAATAAGATTTTTAATTAATTTTTGTGTGAAATGCTACTAAAATATATAAGTCGTAATATTATAGAGAAAATAATAACTTCAAATCTGTGTCCAAGTACCTTTAAACTCCATAGACATTGTTTACAAAAGTTCGGGAAAATTTAAATACCTTCTTTGACTAGAGAGTTCCAAACAGGGAAAATAATTCATGAGCGGTAAAATTAAATTGCCAAAAATTTACAAAGATAGAAAAATTCCAAAAACAGTATTTCGTAAATATTCAACACGGAAATAATTGCTATTAATGTTATTATATAATTTCAAACATTAACTAACATTTAAATGAAAGAAACAATTTATTATAACTGATTATTTGTAAGCATTTCAGATATTTCAAAGTTCAGTGAAGATCAAATGAACTAAGTAATTTATCCTAATTCCGTATCAAAAATACTTTAGAGAAAAATCATAAAAAAACATTATGTTAAATTTATTAAAATAATTATAATGAAAATCAAAATTAAAGTTTAGCTTAACATTTGAATAAAAATAAAACACAAGCTTACCTAAATCGGTAAAGAGAAACAATTCCGATGAAAGTTGAATGATGTTTATTGTAGAGTCACAAGATAGAAAGTGAATTTGCTAAATTCACAATCTATCCGGACTCTACTTCGGAATTGAACTCTTGACCAATCAGGATGCTAGTTACAAAAAGTAATACAGGTAAGTCGGCAGTTTCCTTTGATAGGATTGACACTGATTACTTACATTTTCAAAGAGCCGAAAGGTGATGAAGTCAATTAGCTAAATTTCCGTTCTAGTTTTAAATTCTCTGAATTCTAAAACTTTAATGTAACATACACATCTTTAACGGATTTTCTAATTGTAAATTATTTAACAAATATATTTTGGGATTAAAACGCTATGATAGATATCTGAACATTTAAGTTTAAGACATTTAAGGTACTTTATTTCTTAATTTTTTTCAGCTCTACTGGTCAGAGACCAGAAGAGCTTATGGGATAGTAATTCGTCCGTCCGTCTGTCTGTCTTTAAACAATTTTTCAAAATGCTACTCCTCTTACATTTTTTGTCTGATTTCAATATAACTTTGCACACATGTATACTATACTAAGATACATAATTCTGTGCATCGGTTTATGATTTCGATGAACGGTGTTGACGTGGTTACTAAAAATAGACATTTCTGTGAAATGCTTTCAAAATGCTACTCCTACAGTTTTGGTCTGATATCAAAGTACCAATTGTACCTGATTGGCACACAAGTAGACTACACTAAGATACATATATCTGTGCATCACATCGGTTTTCAATTTCGATGAACAATGTTTTGAAAAAAGAAATTTCTGTGAAATACATTCAAAATGTTTATCTTCTTACAGTTTTGGTCTTATTTCAATATTAACTTTGCACACAAGTAGACAACATTAAGATACATAATTCTGTGCATCGGTTTTTGATTTCGATGGACAGTGTTACCGTGGTTACTAAAAAAAAAAAGAAATTTCTGGGAAATGCTTTCAAAATGCTACTCTTTCCACAGTTTTGGTCTGATATCGATTTCAATATAACTTGGCACAAAAGTAGACTACACTTAGATACATAATTCCGTGCATCGGTTTTTATTTCGATGAACGGTGTTGCCGTGGTTACTAAAAAAAGAAATTTCTGTGAAATGCTTTCAAAATGCTACTCCTCCTACAGTTTTGGTCTGATATCGATTTCAATATAACTTTGCACACAAGTAGACTACACTTAGATACATAATTCTATGCATCGGTTTTTGATTTCTATGAACGGTGTTGAAGTGGTTACTAAAATTAGAAATTTCTGTGAAATGCTTTCAAAATGCTACTCCTCCTACAGTTTTGGTCTGATTTCAATATAACTTGGCACACAAGTAGACTACAATAATACAAATAATTCTTTACATCGGTTTCTGATTTCGATGGACGATGTTGCCGTGGTAACTAAAAAAATAGAAATTTCTTTAAAATACTTTTAAAATGTTATTCCAGATACAGTTTTAGTCTGATTATAAAATAATGTGGGATGCTGGTAGACTACACTAAGATACATTATTGTCTTTATTTTTTTAAATTTAATTTTATGAATGATCTAACCATGGTAACCTAAATTGCTATCTGTATAATTTTATTAAAAGCTACTCCTACAGTTGTAGATTGCAATATTCCACAAAAAGTGACTTAATCAAAAATCATTACTTTATTTATTGCTGTATTCAAGTTTCAGGTCCCAATTGCTACTCTCTTCTTTTCCATATATATATTAATATTTACATTTCCAGTGTCTCCTTACGAGATAAAATTACAAATTGTAAATCACTAAATGTACTTTATTTCCCCCATCAATGTATTGGCGCGGTTCCAAAAAAAAACGTGCAGGGCGGAACAAACAGCTAGACAGAAGCAGGACTTGGAGCACGTGGATTGACGGAATCAGAGCATGTAAATGTAAGGAATAACTGTCAGATTTTTCAATTTTATGACGATGTTCAATCGATTGGCTTGCGTGATAATTTTATGCTTCGGCGTTTATGCAAATTATCACGCAAGCCAATCGATTGATCACATCCTGAAATCAAAAAATAAGACAGTTATTCCTTTAGTATAAACCAGTAGAGCTACAGTCTTGACAGAGACTTCTGGTTATATCGTGTAATAATAAAGCGTTTCCTATCAATGTGAAACACCATTTGCCAACAAACTTTGGTATCTTAAGCTAGATTATGAAAAAGATTTCTGTATAAATGTAATGGGATGCAAATGTAAACTTTTAATATAACTGTTTCTAAGACTTTAAATAACCTTGAACCACATTGAGATGCATAAAATGAAAATTCTTGCATGAAAAGATTTCATTTCAATTTTAAGCATCGTTTAAATTTTTTTAAATTAAATAAAAAATAAAGAGTTATTCCTGGCTTTGGAGCGGATGTCCTCGAGTTATTTATTACTACTTAATACATTGTATCCCTTTTACCCTTTCAAAATGTCTTGACCAAATTGAACCGTTATTGGAATTTATCACAGGCTTTTGGGTCGCTTAAAAATTGTGTGTGTTAAAAAGATAAAGGTTTGGAATTCTTACACTGGGTACCCAATTTCTCCAATAAAATATCAAATACTCTAATAATGACAATGACTTTATTCTCATAAAACTTATAAAATTGTAGAGAACAATAATTAATACAAATACTTATAACAATGCACATTGCGTGGGAAAAAAGAATTTTAACCAGGAGAGCGAACTCTCTCGATAATTTTTTGTATAAATTTAACAATTTTTATCAACTGTTTCTTATTTGTGGTTTTAAACAGATTCTCAAATTTATATACATTAGGGTTCTCAGCATAATAATTAGATAAATATAATGACCTAGTTTGTTTTAATACTTTGTCAGTACAACTGAATAAATAATGAAACTCATCACCAATTTCTTTACAGTTACATAGGTTACAGAGTCTTGCTTCTCTAGGAATACCATGCCATCTCCCTGTTTCAATAGGGAGCCTGGCATTACCAGTTCTAAATTTACAAAAAATTCTCAGAAATTTCAATGGTAAAATATCAAAATATTTCTCAAAAGATAATGTACTTTTGAATA